AAAGAAAGAAAGAAAGAAAGAAAGAAAGAAAGAAAGAAAGAAAGAAAAATGCAAGAAATACACACATAGCCCGTACGCACGAGAATCTAATGGAGTCACTCTGTTAAAAGTGATGAAACAGGTGTAGAGAAATTAAGGTACTTGCCTAAAATTATTGCAGAGGTGTAAACTGATTGTTCAAATGCTTAAAGGTTCCATGTTTAATGCTGTAAATGTTTTTATTTCCTCAGATGAGGGGATGAGATGAGAGCCATACCCACTCTACGAATACATGGCTTGGGCTGAACCCAGAGCATTTTTATCTATCCCTAGGAAGCTTCCTTACAATCTAATCTTTTGCAAACTGGGACCTTGAAGGCTTCAACTTCCAGCCTCTGTCAGCTAACCTAGGCCTAGAATGTTTTCAGCCTCCAAGACTTAATACTGAATAAGCTCACTCTTTCTAGTTCTTTCTGAACTGTAGCTGGCAAGTTCAACTAAGCTGTTCTGTCTCAAAACACCTCTTCAAGCTGGTTCAAATGGGTTTCTCTCAGCTTATCACTGAACTGCTCTGCTTGGAAAAGCTGCCTCTGAACTCCATGAACTGAACTGAACAAACTCAACTGCTCTTGAGAGCAGACTGCCTTCAACTGCACGGCCCCGAACTGTCTGTACTCCCAAACTCTACTGTATTCCTGTACTCTCCTCCTCTCTACTCTCTCCCCCTGTACTGCCCTTCAGCTTCTCTTTCCTGTCTGTGCTTGTGAGGGTTGGATGCATCCTATCTCTGACTCATTCTGTCAAATCTTTCTCTAATGTGTCACTTTGTCTGGCCCTCATTTAAACGCTGTGTTTAGGATTAAAGGTGTGTACTAAATTCTAGCCAGAGGGATTAAAAGGGTGTCTTGTCTATATTCCAGCTAGAGGGACTAAGGGTGTGTCTCTCTTCCAATCTTTGGATGTGATTCCTTGCCAGAGCAGCCATGTTACTGGGTGTTAAAATTCCTCTACTTTATGTGGAGGGGTGATTCATAACCAATACTTTTAATCTACATTAGTTTAACGCTGAGGATAAAAATAAAATATAGGCCCCCTGGGAGGCAGCTGATATCAACCTGAGTGTGCAGAGGCTTGGATGCTAACACAGGAATCTGCATTTGCAGTTGCCTGTTCTAGTGGTCTGCTCTTCCTGCAGATGTATGTCTCTTCAGGATCAAATGAAATTACAATGTTGACTAGAATGGTAAATGCTTTCCTTTCGCAGGTCGTCTTAGAGTCAACTGTTCGTGTCATCTTCAGTATTTCACCAACTCCCCCCTATTGCTTTTCATATTGTAAATAATTCTACTAAGGGGTCTGTATTAAAGACTACATCTGCTTGAAATGCATGTAGTAGATTTCACAGTGTAAAACAAAACCAGCACAAATAATTTAAATGAACTAAGCAGTAAGCCATGTGTGATTGGCAAGATCAGAAAGCACCAATCCCCACCTGTCTGTTCTCTGTGTGTGTGTCTTTGTGTGTCTCCCTCTGTGTGTGTCTCTCTCTTTCACACACACACACACACACACACACACACTCCCAGTGACCCCTTATATTCCTGGGAATGCAATCATTATGGACAAAAGTGGTTTTAGGTTATTCGTTTTTAATGCAGCTGTAACTCAGATCAGCAAACAGTGATGATATAGGACTTTTATTTTTACAGAAACAGTTGGTAGATTATCAACTGTCCTATGAAATACTGAAACAACCCCACCCCCCAGCCCCAGACAAGATCACATTATATAACCCAGGCTGGCCTCAAACTCAGAAATCTACTTGCCTCTGCCTCTGAGAGTACCATCGTACCACTAGAGGGCGCGTGGTCCAGGTATACAGTTCTTATTAAATCACACACGTACTGCAAAAATTTTAATGTATGTATTAACAGAAAAAAAAAAAGAGAGCACAAGAATGGTTCATTCTGGTATTTAAATTCATATTAAAACACATACTATTTCCTTGTGTCATAAGTGGATATTTTAATATAAAATGAGGAAAATTCTGGAATATACGTAAGTCCCTTAAACGCTGTGCATTTGACACTAGGAAAAACCCATTGTACTACCTTTGTTTCCCACATTTTGTCAAAGATCCTGGAGCCCTCATAATGAACCAGCCTTTGTTTTGACACTGCGAAGATCTTATTCATAGGAACAGCTTCTGTTAAGACTGATCTACATGGGATAAGGGAGCTTATGGAATATGTTGAAGTCCTGTGGGTTTTTTTCCAATTGGATATGGCGCTGTCTGGTATGAAAACTTGCGTGAGTTTCTTAAGGATTCATTAAGGAGCAGACAACTTAGGCTAAATAGCACAAAAGGGTTTATTTGGGGAAAAGCATGGTAAGAAAAATTTGAGAATTATGCGTGAATGCCGACTGTCAGTGGCTAAGACTGCGGCTGTGGTCAAGGATCTGAAAAGGAAAATACACATCTAAGCAAGTAAACTGAAGTAAATGTGGTTAACACTACAACAGGTATATGTGGAAGGTTTAGAGAGAGTGGGGAAACTTGCAGTCATTGCCAGGGTTTGGGGATGCTTCTGACGCATGTCCGGTGTACCGAGCATTATAAAGCAGCTGACCTGGATAAAGGACTTGGGTTTCCCAACAGTGACGTCTTTGCCTTTAAACACTTTCTCAAAAGGTTGGGAACCCTGATGCAAAGAGTACTTTCAAGAATAACAATTGTCCCTTTTTTTATTTTTTTAAAGCATTTGAACAACAGTCTTTATTTTTGAGAGTTAAAATAAAAATGCATGCCATTCTTTCCCTCTCATCCCTGAATTTCTTCAGTGGAACATCTCTGTTGAAAACTACTTATGTTGGGAATTCTACTGGCTTTAAGTCAAATTTTTCTATATTTGTTTCATTTCATGCAGAAAGCTTGGGCCAAAGCCTTTTTACAAACAATAACTCACTGGTAACTTACCAAAAAAAAAAAAAAAATTTCTCAGACCACCTACTTCTGTGGCAATGAGGAGCTAGCTAGAACGATGTAACCAGAACACATAGGCAACATTTTGATGGGTTACTGGTTCACTTCCTCTAAACTTCAGCTGAGAGAACCCAGCCTCAGGCATTGTCCGTTGCCATATGCTGTACATTATAATTATGTACAATGCATGAGTGGCCTCACTTGGAAACATATTGATGATTTGTTTTAAAAATTAAGATGAACCCATAGGTCCAGTAAAACTGTCACAGCCACTTGTAATAGAAAATATAACGCAGAAAAAAATACATTTTAAACATATTCTAGTGTTCTGTTTTGGTTCTGTGGTACAGCCTTTACATGATAATTAGTAACTCCATGAAGATGAATAGATAGCCTCTTAGCAAATTCATGAAGTACTTCAATTTTCATAGAAAGTAATTTTTTTCCAAAATTCAAAATAAAAGCATAATTTTTCATGATAGGAAACCAGATCTGGGTTTTATTTATCATGAGGTCACCCAAAGAGATTGTCTTCCTCCTTCTGATTCTGAACAACTCAGTATAATTCATAAAGCCATACTGAAAAATTACTGCGAATCACTAAGAAACTATTCTGAAAGCCACAGCCCTGTGTTCCTGCAAAGCATATAACAGGTGTTCCTATTCCCTGTGTCCTTTGTATACACATTCATTCTGTATTCAAATCACAGAAGCAAGAGGCAGGCTAGGGTCTGTTACCTCACTGCTAATTTCCCTAGCAAATAAACCAGCAGCTGCTGGTCCATGAACCAACTTGCCACTGAGAACAGGGCGCCGTCTGCATGGGACAGGATGCTTTTATGGAGCTCCTCAGCAGCATGGTTGAGATCTTTCTTTGCAAAACATACCTTCTTCTCATAGGTAAGGCCCTGCATGAGCTGGCTTTTGGGTAGTTGGGGTTTGAGTTGTGGGGTTTTGTTGGTTTTCTTTGTGGTTTATTTTTTGTAGGCATGAGATAAATATTTGCTTTGGGCTGTAGATTTTCTCAGATAATTGAAGGACAGGTCAGAACCTTTTAACAGTAACATATTGTTCCAGCAAAGAAGCAGGAACATGTAGGAGAAATGAGGTTCAAGAAATGATTCCTTTTGTCTCCTTGGAGCAACAGCTATTGTCAGCGGGACTCACTAAGAAAGTTAAGGCAGTATAAAAAGCTCCGAGCCTTCCCAGGGCTTACCAATAGGCTCAATAATCTTTAACAGTGAGAGTTTTAATTGGAAAATATTCTAATAGTGCATTAAATTACAATACAGAACGAAATTCAAAACAATTCATAGTAGTGGCTTTCTTTTAATTTAAGATATCGCTTAAATTAAACATAGCATGCAGACTGTTGGTTCTTCTTTAATATAAATGTTGGAAAATGTGAAGTTCTAGCTAAACTGACAAGTGAGAGAAATGTTTTCAAAAGGAACAGTGCTCCAAAATGCCTATAGCTTTTCTCTTTGTCAATGACTAGTCCTATAATTTTTTTTTGCTGTATCTTAATATTTTTCTCTCATTCTCTTTTGTCATAAGGTTTGCACAGACACACACACACACACACACACACACACACACACACACACACACCTTGTATCACCACATGCTTTTATCCGGCAATATATTTTTTTCACCAAGTCTCCCATTTTCCATCCTTTCTATTATAGGTCTTAAAAGTCAGGTTAGTTTCCTGTTCTGTTTACATTCGTCAGATGAAAGTTTAAAGAGAGCTTTATTCTTTAAAAAATAACTTAGATTTATAAACCAAATTGAGCTTTGGACTTTGGGGGTGTGTAAAGCCTTACTTTCACTAATATTTTTTGTTAGTTCTCATTATAAACACGGTTACTCTTCACATTTGTGTGTGGTGCATATAAAGCTCCCTGACATAAAACTGCCATCTCTAAATGTCTGTTTCTCATAACCGCTCTGCTCTTGTATACCATATAGCTATACTATCAAATTCAAACCTGTAATATGGTCTGTGTTCTAAAATCCTTAAAAAAAAACATCTGGGACCATAATTTCAACATCATTTTTAGCTTTTAGGTGACGTTATGTTGGTTTCTTGTTTGTTGTTTGCTTGGTTTATTTTGTTGTTGCTGTTTTGTTTTCTGTTTTTAAACAATGGAACTGCTAGCTTTTCACAAATAATGTTTTGGTGACTGGCCTTAAGAATTCGGGAATGAATTCAGTTGAGAAATTTGACTAAAATAAAATTAAAATATACTTGCGATTTCATCCAAGTTCAGAAAAAAAAAAAAGTTTTTATTATAGCCCTCCTTACAGATCTCCCTCCTTACAGAAATTCACTTTCCCTGAAGGCAGTGAGTCATGAAGGTCGGAAGGAATATGCAAGTCCTTTTGCTTTTGAAGTACTCAGTTGTCTTTGTGCCTTTAAAACATTTTAAAACTAAGCTCCAACTGTATGGTTAAATAGTCTAGTCAAAATACAAATTCATAATCTTTATTTTTTTTCTAACAATGCAAGAGTTTGTTTTCAGTCAACAATACTTATGTTATGTTTGCTAATACTGTGTGTGCTAATGGGGAAATAAATACCAACTATTTTAAGCTGCCACAGAGGTCACTTTGTAAAACCTAATGTTTGCATTCAATACAGTGAGACTGCTCGAAGGAGTCCTTTGTTGCTGGAACATGGATAATTTTTTTACAGTGTACTTTCAAGTATTCCTTAAGTATATATCTTCTTCATAGGTACTGTTGTTATGTATCTTAAGAAGTCTCTAAAGCGAAGTTATTACGGTAATTTTGTGTGGCAGATTATAAATAGTATTTTCAATACTTCTCTCAGTTGCCATCAGTGCCTTTAAGACAGAAGGTCTTAACAGTCCTCTTCTCAGGAAGTACTGGTCAATCTAGTAAAACCAAAATTCCCATTTATGTGCAGATATTTGCTATATCAAAAGAAAATTAAAATTCTACCAATATTTCTATCGTTTACTTGCTTGAACTTTGTCTGCTCATATAGAGAGAGGCTATAGAAATCTTCAGTCTTTTATGTTTTCTCATGCAACTAGAAAAGCAGTTAAAAATTTTCAACGTGAACCTCATTTTTCTAAATTAGTAAAGCACTGTGTTTGAAAGCATAGGTTTGTTACATTTATAGCAAAAAAAAAAAAAACATCAATAGAAAAAATGTGTACTTCTAAACTGCACGGGAAACATATTGTTACCTGTTTACTCTGCGAATCTCACAATGGTTGCATCATATCAGTGGATTCAGGATTTTCCTAATTGGAAGATTTTGGTTGTTCAATAAGGAAACTCATTCCTTACTGACACTTGTTGCCTTTAAATCGTCCCATAAAAATAATATGGGCACTGGGGAGTTAAAGCCCATGCCTTTAACCCTAACACTTGGAAGGCAGAGGCAAATATACCTCTGTGATTTCTAGGCCAGTCTGGTCTACATACCATCCAGAATCTCATCGCGAGAGCCTGTTTCCAGTAATAAAATAATATACATGTTAATAATTAATAATAATGACACAGGCAATCTGCAGGCAAACCACTAACATAGCGGCTGCACCATCTCTCTCTATGATGTGCATTTAAGAAACGACTCTCATGTATTTGGTAAAGAATTTTTCATTTTGTATTAAAGCACTGAATATATTCAGAAATATCTTTGGCAATGTATTATTTAAAACAGTAATATATGGTTCATTCTCTTAAATAGCCAAATGAACTAGTATTCTTCACTTATATGGTGAGTGTAAATGCCAAATAAATGTTGTTGCTTTCACTCAACATGTCCACCTCTGACCCCTGCATTCAGGAGGCCAAGGAAAGAGAACCCTGAGTGCCAGGCCAGCAAAAACAGTTTAGTGGGGTCCAAACAATTTTTTTTTAGTAAGGTAGTTTATTTATTTATTTTTTGGGGGGAGGGGTCAGAGGATTGCTTTTTAGACCGGGTCTCACTGTGTAGCCCTGGCTGGCTTTGAACTTACCATGTAGGTCACAAACTAGTCTCCATAGCTCAGAGATTCGCCTGTCTCTTTCTTCCAAGTGCTGGGATTCAAGTTGTGTGTCTCTAGCCCAGATCTACTAAAGTAACTTCACTTGTCTCCAGACTGCAGTATTTGTGTTATGTTTAGTGTCTTTTGAAATCCAGTTTTCTCCTCATGGCTTACTTAGGGTCTCTAAGTTATCCTGCTCATAGCTGAGAGCCAACATGTGAATCAAGATTCAAAAGTTAGTAACCTTTCCAGCAACAGTGCCAGCCATAATAGTGCAGTGCCTGGCATTTCCAGCACAGTAACGAAATCTCAGCCAATCCTCTCCAACCACAATTGCACAGGCTAAATTATAGAAAAACAGGAGAGCAAGAACCTCTTCAACCAAACGAGAAAAAGCGGATTGACTAAGATTATATCCAGGCTTCATATACCCCCATCTCCGTCCAGCGGGGACTCCTCGGGTAAGCTGAGAAATGTCGTCAACGCCCCAGTGAACCGCTGACAAAGCTGATCCACGCCAGAGGCAACCACCTCTCTCTCTGACGGCAGCCATGCAGCTCTTCCCAGTGCATTCCCAAGGCGATAATGTGATTCCCGCCGTACCCCCTTGATTGCTTGGTAACAAACAGGGAATTGCCAATTTGTTAGAGCACATCCAGGGATTGACAACTTAATAGGTGGACTAAATGGTGAGACCCGCTACTTCAAAGTTCTTTGAACCCTTCCTCTTGAAGTGTAAGTAGTGGCTGATCCAGGAGGTGAATCAGAGATCAGGGAGAGCCTACAGGCTCCCTCTCGTCTTACCCTCTTTTCACACACAGGACAGTGAGCAGAGACTTAAAATGGCTTGCTTACCTAAAACCACATTTACTGACTAACCACTGTTTTAAGACAAGCATATGTCCTTTGCTAAGACTTCACACTTCCAACTTTAACAAAACGTCAAATAAAATCGTCTCTCTGCAAGTTTAGAAAATGTAAGTACGTGATCCTGATGATCTTGATTTCAGGGCAATTTGCCAGAATTACTGGTGAAATAGTTTCAAGGGAGTATAGGACGGGAAATGAACCCTGACACATGGCTAGTAGATATTTTCATATACAGCCAAGAAAAAAAAATAATGAAAGAACATAGCAACACCATGCAGTAAGAGCTGTGTTTTTCATACCTTAAGACAGAAATAATGAACTAAAAGCTAGCCTTTGTGTTTTGCTTATCAAGAAAGCCTGTGTCTCTAGTTTCAATTAAAGGCACAGAGGTGCATTTTTATTTGCTAAGAGAGCACACATCCGAAAAGGAATCTGTTTTTACTCCAGCCACCACCCACAGCCCAGTGTCTTTGTAACTGTTGGCCTGTTGGAGCTTTTTCCATCTCCCAGCCTCGGCCCCACGTATCTGAGACATCCCTAGCTTGCCCACCATCGTCCTTATTTCTTCCTACAATTTCCCCACAGATTCCACTGTTCTTTGGCTTCAAGCAACGCGACTCGTTAGATATTCCAGCGCCCACTTCCCTCTTTTATTTTTAATCTCTCAACTTAGGAAAACTCCAGACGTTCTGGCTGCACTTGTCTGTGCAGACAGGAAGCATGCACCTTGTAACGCGCGTGAACTAACGAGAAAGGACAGTGTATGTTTATCCTGGGTCACGGGCCCGGGAGCCCCACTGCACCGCGTGGCTAGCTTTCCACTCCGGGAAGATGGAACTCAGTGTTGGCGGAACTTGACTCCTCGCGCGGGATAGGAACGTGCTTGAGCTTCTCCCTGGAAATCACCGCGGAAGACAAACAGACCTTTGTGCCTCTTCCTTCTTTGTTCCGGCTGCCCTCCATAAGTTCATTTAGTGGAGGCTTAAAACTCCCACGGTTCCTGGAAACAATGAAAATGGAAAGCAACTGGGTGTCTCCTTCCACCTGCATCTGTCGCTCTCTGCTCCACCGTTTCTGTTTCTGGTGGGTTCATACCCAGCGCCTACAAACTGAATTTCATACGATACATTTCTGCCCGGCCTTCACACCATTTCTCTCGTGGTCTTTTCCACGGGGTTCCTCAGACATCTATGCTTGCTGGTTTAACCTTCTGTGCCATTCTTTTTAAAAATTGTTTTAAAATTTACTTGTGTGTGTGCGTGCGCGCGCTACCTACAGTGTGCGAGTGGGTCAGGGGTGGAGAAGGGAGTTAGTTCTCTTTTTCTGCCCTGTGAGTCTTGGGGATTGAACCCAGGTTGTCAGGCTTAGTGGCGGGTAGCTTTGCTCGCCGGTCCATCTCACGGACCCTGTGCCATTGGTTCTTCTCTTGGTGTTCAAATTAGTCTACATTTGAATTCCACACAGGAGCCTCTTGTTACAAATGTTCCTCTGACGGTGATTTTATACCAACACGCACTCACGTATAAAACGAGGCAAGGAGCTTTCAGTTAGAGTTCTAAAATACAGTATCCAGAAATGACTTTTTTCCGTTACAAATGGTAAATATATATATAAATATATGCTGCTATTATTATTATTATTATTATTATTATTATTATTATTATTATATTGGGACATCTGCAGGTCCCACAAGCTAAGAAACAACATGAAAACAGAAGATATCACCGTAGCACTGATTTCATGGGCCCCAAAACCCGAGCACCGCATCAGACAGTACATTAGGGAGAGCTTCATGCCTCACACCTACGCAGGCCTCTAATCGTACCCTAACTACCCTTAATAATGGAAGCACCATCACTATATCCATTCAGCACCGCCTCTTGGATGTCCAATAGGCACCCCAAAATGAGTCTGCCCTAAACTGACTTTGGATTTCCACACACCACCCCCAAAACTAACAGTTCTCTGCCTCAGCCCTGTGGCTTATCCACTGGTTGAGGCTCCATTATTCCAGATGATTTAAATGAAGACGTTCTTCGGCATTGCCCTGTATGCCCCCTTCCCCCCCCCCCACGGAGTGCAGTAGCTGAACTTTTAGGTAGCACCAGCCATCTCGCTCACAACCCCGCGGCTCTGTACAACCCACACCTCCTGCCTTGCTTTGTTGCAGTCACGTCCCAAGATACCTCGCTGCTCCTGCTCTCCCTCTCTTTGTTCGATCTGTTCTCATCCCAGCTGGCATGAGATAAAGAAGCCATTAGAAAAGTCATGTCCCTCCTCTGATAGCAAAACTACAGTTGCATTTCCATTTCACATACAGTAAAACCGCCCAGGGCTCCCATGGTCCCATTTGTCCTGGCTACCGAGGACCTCACCTCTCTCTCTGCTTCTTCTCCTCCACTCTTGTTCTGTCTGAGCCTGCCCTTGCTGCTCCTCAAACACCAATCAGAGTCCTCTGTGGACAAGGGATGATTGTCACCTTTACTAGATTACTCAGATTTGGTGTGTTTTTGACCAAAGAAGGGGGAATTCCCCTCCCAAGAAAGTGGAATATTAAGCTATTTCAGAAGACTTTGAAGAAATTTCTTGCAGGGAAGCAACCCCTTAATATTTCAGAAATTGCATAGTTTCACCAGGATATGACATTGACATACTCTAATTTCAAATGTGTTTAATGGTTTTATTGGACTTTAGAGCTCATAATCTTTCTCACTTCTTCTTTCCCTATCATTCCTCGGTGGCCATAGGTAATAACTTCTGCTTCTCGTTTTTGCCTTTAGAGAAGTCATGCAGCCAGCATAGGCGCTGGGCGGAGTCTTTCAAATGCAGAAGGTTTCAGAGACAAATATTTACCTCTACCTGTAACTGCTACTAGGATAGCCAGTACTGAGAAGCCTTCTTCTTTGAAAGGGATTGCCACCGACTGACTTCTGCCAGCTGCGCTCTGTATCATGAAATGCGGCTCAGATTACTCACAGTTTTCCTTCCTTTTGTAGCAGGTTCTTGCTTGGGGCTGAAGGTGACCGTGCCATCACACACTGTCCATGGCATCAGGGGACAGGCCCTCTACCTCCCTGTGCACTATGGCTTCCACACGCCAGCCTCTGACATCCAGATCATATGGCTGTTTGAAAGATCCCACACAATGCCCAAATACTTGCTAGGCTCGGTCAATAAGTCTGTGGTCCCCGACCTGGAGTACCAGCACAAGTTCACCATGGTGCCACCCAATGCTTCTCTGCTCATCAACCCACTGCAGTTTGCTGATGAGGGCAACTACATCGTGAAGGTCAACATCCAGGGGAATGGAACTCTCTCCTCAAGTCAGAAGATCCAAGTCACTGTTGATGGTGAGTCCTTGGTGGCAGTATACAGGAGGCTGGGTCGTCGGCTCAGCAGGGGCTGAGAACACCAAGCTTCCCGGGCTTTCTGGTCCTGGCTCTTGCAACTCTGAGTGAATTAATTAATCCTCAAAGCCCCCTGCCCAGTGTCATTATCTACCTTGTACAGCTTTCTGAGATTTAATTATATATGTGTATAAGGGAGGTGCCCAGTACACAGCACCAAATCTTCAAGCAATAAGTAAAACTTACTGTGTGTGGTGTGTGTGTGTGTGTGTGTGTGTTTTGTGTGTGTGTGTGTGTGTGTGTGTGTGTTAGAACTTATATAAAGTTGCCTGAAAAAAAGTAAGATAAGGACATTTTTCTCATTTGTATGTTATATATACTGGGAAGGTCCCTATTTTTAATCACATGAAGAGTTTTAATTGGCACAATGTTTAAGGGAAGATGAGCCAGGGACTTTATGTAATTACAATAAAGGCTTTGGGGACTGTTCCCTGGGGAAGAGTGGAATTAGCTAATTTCTGGGCATTTGTTTTTTTCTTACTAAGATTTATAAAGCGGCACAGTGTGAATATACTATGCACAAAATTCATGTTATTTTTCGGCCTACTCATTATTTGACAACGTATCTATTTTTAGTAAATATTAAATTGATTCTATTACTTCCTCAGGCCAAGGCTTTGCATACATCACTGGCCATCCTGTCTTCTCATGATGTACCCTTAGTCTGCAAGGAAACCACGTTGGCCGACCTTAAAAATAGATTCCAGCTGCTTTCATGCACCCTTTACCACTGTCCTGCTCACACCTGTAACTGTATTCTAAACTGCTGTAATTGCTTTATCCCGAGTTTCTCTGCTTCTGCATTCTCCAGCAAATGCCTGTCACAGCTATCTCATTCAAAATGGGAGTCAGAGTACTAATAATAACATTCAGGGCCCAGCATGCCCAGAACCTAGCTGACCACGTTCTTCATTTCTGTTCATTATACTCTCTGTTCTGCTCATACTGATCCCTTGCTTCTCTTTGAACAGGACAAATACTCTCGCATCTCAGGGCCTTTGTTCTCATTCTTCACTCTATGTAGACAGCTTTTATCCCAAATATCATTTTCTTTATTTCTTTTAGGCATCATCTCAATTGTAATGTCTGTGAGAGATTTCCTGTCCACTCTACACTCTATATCTTCATCCCAAACAACACACACACACACACACACACACACACACACACACTTCACTGTCTTTAATTCTGCTTTTCTCTTTGTTCCTTGAACTTGCCATCACCTGTCAATAGAACCTGTATTTCATTTTTGTTGTTTTTCTTCTATGACTGGAACATGAGGTCTGTGGGACAAAGGACATTGTCGGTATTCTTGATGCTTTCTTCTCAGTGTCAGAACTGTGCTGGCCGTAGCAGACTCTGTAACCCCTACAGAGTAAGGAGTCAGGCAAAAGATAGAAGAGGCTGCAGAGGACTAACAACACAGCTGGGGATCAGACGCCTGCAAAGCGATTGTAGGGAAAGCAAAGAAAGACCTAGAAGGCATCTTTATAAAGTTCTCCTGCAAGAGTTGTTCATACAGGTTATAACAGCCCTAACACTTGTATTGTAACTTTGGATTTGTTTAGGGAAATGAATCCAAAAAATGTAGCAAAGCTTTCATAGGTTTTAAGTATCTAAGCAGAACCTTTTCAAAAGGGCAGCCTCGGGTCTAAGTTGCTTTGTTACAGACAAGTGTATGATATTGAATGACTAGTCCAATGACCGGCTCTCCTTGTACAAGACTGTTACCGTGCTGCCTAGTTATCTCATACCACATATATTCCTACACACAGGTGTCTGGGACATGTTTCAACAATGAAACACATTCGTTTTTTTCTTTTTAAAACATAATAACATACACAAGATGCTATTGCAAACCCTTTGCTCTTGCCAGGGAAGACAAAGGATTGAATTAAATGAACAAACCAGTAGATGACATCCACCTTGAAAAAATGTCACATGTCCCCAAGTTATTCAGTTCCCTTCCAAGTTGCTTTCAAGCTCGTTTTTCCTTACTTTTCATTTGTTTCTAACTCCGCTGGGCTGGAGAATTAGGTCTGTTAGTGCCCTGATGCTGTTTCCATTCTTTAAAAAAAAAAAAAAAAGTAACAATAATACAGGAAACATTTGCCCCAGGAAGAAACATCAAACTCAACTGAACACTTGATGGGGAAATCAAAGCCTAAAGTACCGGGTCCAATCATAGGTTGCCTACCTCAGCCTCTCTGTGCTCCATCAGCTTACACATGTGGAGACTATGAAATGTCTATCTCTCCAAAATGCAAGAAAAGAACATTGACAGGTGGAAAGGCCTTTTCTCTTTGCCAATGAAGGATGTATGAGTCTGAACAAATAACTGTTTTTTTAGATCCTTTATCTACTTATTTCTTTACTTGTTTATCTGCTTATTTACATGTGTGCAGGTGTATGTTTTTCTGCACACGCTGCAGGGCACATGTGGAGGTCAGAGGACAACTTGCTGGAGCCATTTCATTTCTTCCACCAAGTGGGATCTGGAGAGCAAACTCAGGCTTGACAGAAAACGCCTTTACCACTGAGCCATCTCACTGGCCCACAAGGCACTGTTTTATCAAACAGAGTGAAAAACTCTAAAGACTGGTGACATTTGCTGAGGTGACAGTGAATGCATATGTAATTACCAACCTTTTCTTCACTGTTTTGTTTGTTTTTGGAGACAGGGTTTCTCTGTGTAGCCCTGGCTGTCCTAGAACTAGCTCTGTAGATCAGGATGCTCTCAAACTCACAGGGATCTGCCTGCCTCTCTGCCTCCAAGTGCCAGTATTAAAGGCATGAGTGTGTGCCACCGCCGCCCCACTGTAATTACCAATCTTATGATGCACTAGAGCTAAAAGTCAGTGAAGAAACATCTGTGTTTTCCTATATTTATCCATTTGCCTACTGCAGGCCATATTTGTAAAATAAATAAAGCTAGTTTCTCATCTCTTGACTTTCTAACAAAAATGTCTTTTGGGGGGTCTGGAGAAATGGCTCAGTGGTTAAGATCACTGTCTGCTCTTCCAAAGGACCCAGGTTCAATTCCCAGCACCCACATGGCAGCTCACAACTGTCTGGAACCCTCACCCCAATGCACATAAAATAAAATTAAATAAATTATTTTTAAAATATCTATTGGATTTGTCAAATAGATATTTGTCAAATCTACTATCAAATAGATTCAGCCTTGATTGAAATGCAGACTTTGGCCTGTCAAAGAATGTGTTTGCATGCCATTCTCCAAAAATATCCCTCCACATTTTCAAAAGTGTACCATACCTGCGCTATATAATTTAATTTTCAGATGATAGATAAAATTTTCAAGTTGCCACATCCTGCCTTGAGAGCTGATTTTGGTATATTACAACTCAAGAAAGGGAAATTACTGTATACATTTTGCCTGGGTGTGTAACTTCATAGAAGATAAGCATTTGCCTACCATTCATGAGGTTTGAGAGAGAGAGAGAGAGAGAGAGAGAGAGAGAGAGAGGCTTTGATGATAGAGAAACCATGATGAATAGAAAAGTGAAACTCTGGACTTTCAAGCACTACTACATTATATAAAAAGCAAGTAGATTAACTGGCAATACTTGAAGCATAAGTTGTAAAATTTGGTTAGCTCTAACTGTATAAATATATTTCGTATTTTACCATTTCTAAATTTCTGTGAGCTTTTAATAGTCCCTTTAACTATTACCCAAAATGTCTACGTTTACAAATATTAAAATGTCGGAATCGTTTCCCCAGGACTCAATGTTGGAAAGGCTCCTTAGATTTCACCATGGCTCTATAGATGGAAGGAGATCATTTCCCTGTCTCTCGGTATTGCAGACCCTGTCACGAAGCCAGTGGTTCAGTCCCATCCTGCTTCGGGGGCTGTGGAGTACGTGGGCAACATCACGTTGACCTGCCAGGTGGAGGGAGGCACCAGGCTGGCTTACCAGTGGCGAAAAAATGGGAAACCTGTTTGCATCAGCTCCAGCCACTCCTTTTCTCCCCAAAACAACACCCTTTGGATTGTTCCGGTGACAAAGGAAGACATTGGGAACTACAGCTGCCTTGTGTCAAACCCTGTCAGTGAGATGGAAAGTGATATCATTATGCCCACCATATATTGTAAGTAACTTGTTTTCATTTTCCCTTATGTCTACAGTTACGGGAAGTTCTCACAGGCATAGGCATAGACAGCATCAGAGCCAGATTCCATTTGGTCTTTAACAGTATGGTAGCTTAGTGCTTGCTACACTCACATCTCCTACGACAGTGGTTCTCAGTCTCCCTATTTCCAAAAGGGTCGTCTAAGACCATTGAAAAACACAGATATTTACATTACGGATCATAACAGAAGCAAAATTACAGTTATGAAGTAGAGACAAACGTAAGTTTGTGGCTGGGGGTCACCACAACATGAGGAACTGTATAAAAGAGTCATGGCATTAGGAAGGTTGAGAACCACGGACCTTGGGATTGTCCGGTCAGGAAACAGATCTACTCACACAACCTTATTTTTTTTGAAAATAATGAAACAACCTTATTTTTTTTGGAGGTCAAGTTGGGACATTAAGCATAGGGCGTTCAGAGTGAAATCTGTACGAATCCAGTAGCACAAAGAGATGCTGACTCACTCATCTCGCAGAAGGAAGTGGAAATGATGAGGATCCTGGAGTAGGTGCCGCATGGATAAGGAGAAATCCTGGGTTAGGTGTGAGAATGGGCCCTGAAGGACAGATGTTCCCTAGGCCCATTTCTCTCACCACTTCTACACATGATCCCAGCCACAGGCCAACAGTCTGACAGAAGGGTTCAGGATGCATCCTAGCCAGAGCAACCTTTTGTTGTTGTTGTTGATAGAATAAAAATTTATATAATATAAAAATGGGTAAATATGGGTAGATAATAATTAAATCAATGATTCCATCATGTTATATCTTAAAGATCCCAATGTTTTAATTTTTATCCTTCATAATATATTATATTTAATATGACATCATCATCATTCTTTTATTTCTATCTTACAAAAAAGGAAGTTTTTCAGTCCATTAATTGTACATATTTATAAAATTAGGGATATAACTATAATATACATTAATGATGTTCAACCACTTTTTATTTACTCACTACTTTTTAAAAATTATTTAATTATTTATTTATTTATGATTGCAATTTATTCTCTTTGTATCCCCACTGCAGCCCCCTCCCTCGTTACCCTCCAATCCCACCCATTCTTCCTCTTCTCCCCTTATGCCCCTCCCTCAGTCCACTGATGGGGTAGGTCTTCTTCACCTTCTATCTGACCTTAGCCTATCAGGTCTCATCAGGACTGGCTGCATCATTATCCTCTATGGCCTGGCAAGGCTGCATCCCCGAGGGGGAGGTGATCAAAGAGCCTGTCACTGAGCTCATGTCAGAGACAGCCTCAGCTCCCCTTACTAGGGAACCCACTAGGGAAACTGAGCAGCCTATGGGCTACATCTGAGCAGGGGGTCTAGATCCTCTCCTTGTATAGTCCTTGCAGGGGGCCCAGGTTTTTTGGTTCTGTTGGTCTCCTTGTGGAGCTCCTGTCTGCTCCAGGTCTTTCTATCTCCCCCTTCTTTCATGAGATTCCCTGCACTCTGCCCAAAGTTTGGCTATGAGCCTCAGCCTCTGCTTCGATACCCTGATGGGTAGTCTTTCCGAGGGCCTCTGTGATAGGCTCCTTTCCTGTTCCTTGCCTTCTCCTACTTCCGATGTCTATCCTATTTACCTTTCTGAATGAAGATTAAGCCTCTTCCCTATGGTCCTCCTTGTTGTTTAGCTTCTTTAGGACTAATAGATTTTAATATGTTTATCATATATTATATAGCCAATATCCACTTATAAGTGAGTATATACCATATGTGTCTTTCTACTTCTGGGTTACCTCACTCAGGATGATCTTTTCTAGTTCCATCCATTTGCCTGAAAATTTCATGATTTCCTTGTTTTTAATTACTGAGTAGTATTCCATTGCGTAAATGTACCAAGACTTCAGTATCCATTCTTCAGTTGAAGGACATCTATCTAGGTTGTGTCCATATTCTGGCTATTATGAATAAAGCTGCTGTGAACATAGTTGAGCCAATGTCCATATTGTATGGTTGAACGCCAGAGCAATCTTAAGTGTTTCCCCAAACACATTACTAGTTACTTCTGAATTTCATTCCCTTCAATCATTTTCATTGTTGACATTGAATCTCATATACAGATAGAATTTATCATGTGACCTTCACAACCCCAAACAAGGGCCCTCCTTTTTTAAAAATTCTAGTATTTTCTAATCACTATAGAGCCATAGCACTGTAATACGTTTAAATTTTATTCTTTTGTGTGTTTGTTTAGAGCGTGTATGTGCATGTGTGTGTTCCCATCAGTGGGCATATATACATACGTGTGCGTTGGTGAATGTCTTTGCATGTGTCTGTGTTTGTGTTTAGGTGTGCATATGCCACAGTGTGCCTGTGGAAGTCAGAGCACAGCTTTCTTTTTTAAACTTCACATCCCCCTCCCTCATCTCGTCCCGCTCCCATTCTCCCTCTGTCTTCCCCTCAACCTCTCCTTTATTCCTCAGAAAGGGGGAGCCCTCCTCCATTACCAACTGACCCCAGCCTATCAAGTCTCATCAGGACTGCCTGCATCCTCTTCCTCTGTGGCCTGGAAAGACCATCTTGCCAGGGGGAAGTGATCCAAGAGCAGACAACAGAGTCCATGTCAGAGACAGCCTTTGCTCCCCTTACTAGGGAACCCCCATGGAGACTGAACTGCCTATGGGCTACATCTGAGCAGGGAGACTAGTTCCTCTTCATGCATGGTCCTTGATTGGTGCGTCAGTCTCCTTAGCCTCCCCTGGGCTCAGATTTGTTGGCTCCGTTGCTCTCCTTGTGGAGCTCCTGTCTCCTCCGGGTCCTTCTATCTCCCAACTCTTCCATAACCCACCCGTGCTCTGCCCACAGTCAAACTTTGAACAGAGGACAACTTTCAAAAGTCAGTTCTCTCTTTCCACCACATAGGACCTGGGAGATGAAAATAAAATTGTCAGGCTTGAAAGAATGCGGCTTCCCCAACTGCATCATCTCCCCTGTCCTCTGATATGCTTACTTCTGTACACAAAGTCTAACGTAACACAGAGTTTGTCAACTGCTTAGAACAGTGACATCTGGGGACTAAGTAACTTTGCTGTGGACTGTCCTGGACATTCTGGGGTATTCAAAAGCTGCCCTGTCCTCTAGCCATGTGCATAGCAGCAACTAAATCTGTCTCCGAGCGTTGCCAAGTGACCTCTGGGCCTGGGGCATTCCTTCTGAGCTGAAAGCCTACCTCTGTGGAAAGCCTTAGTGTAAGGCTGCAAGAGCAACCACGCTGAGAAGAAAAGTGAGATGTGGCAAAGGAAAACGTGTCACCTCCGCCGCAGCATGAGAGGAAAGCTTTCATCTCCTAACAGGAGAACCGAGCCTGGCACATATATCTACTCACTCAGCAAATACATCTTCATAATAGTGGAAGAGGCACTAAGCCTTGCATTTAGAGCTTTCAAGTCAGACAGGGGTAGTGAAAAATGGGGTTGGTGATGACCCATGTGACCTAGTCCTCTGGTCTTTCTGGGCCTCGTTTATAAAATGGAGATATTTGAAATGTACTTCACTGTATTGCTTAGATTAAATGAGGTGTTGTCCGAAAAAATAGGCAAGCATTCACTAAAGGGAAGATGGCTCGTTATCAACATATCTGTCATTACCTGCTCCATATGTGGCCAGCTACTTTCTTCACTAGAATGCTGGCAGAGTCCTCTCAAGGACCTGTGTCAAAAAATGATCATCTTTAGAGAAACGCACCAGCATATGAATAAAATGTAATCATGCGGTCTTCTGCAACCATATAATACTTAAAACAAAACTGAGTGTGGGCACCAAGGCAGGGAAGGGAGCTGCTGGGGCCAGAAGGAGAGATGAATGGTACAAAATTTCAGCTGAAGGAAAGAGAATTAGTGGAGCTTGAAGCTGGACACAGGCCCTGCTTTGACAAAAGAGAGAGCCTATACGTAATAAAATATATGGAGTAAAACGCCCTGGCTATCATAGAGATGTGTAACAAGAAGCATAACATAGCATAGTAAGGACTGCGGAGTCATGGGCCAGGGTTCAAATCCTGGGTTGGCATTCTTATCTCTCGGCACATCACTTTGTTCATTCATTGAATGATGATCCTGGAAACCTACTTCATGAAGCAATTGTGGGGACTGAACTGTCGCTCTATGTAAAGCGATAGAACACTTGGCTGGCCCACAGCAAGCACTGTAGAATGGTTTGTCGGTCTTTCATATTCTGCTATTATCCCATGTGAACACAAAGACTGGAAATACTGCTTCTTGCTAAAAAGAAAAGGCTCCTTTCATAAAGGGACATTTGAGTGAATGTGTCACAGTGGCTATGGTTGAGCAAATGGGAAGGTCTGGAAACCCATCACATGCACACAAGGCAACAGGAGTCCAGGCACAAAGAGGAAGTAAAAGTATTTCTCAAGGACTAAAATAAATTGCTGTTGACATTATGGTTAGCTTTGTTTGCTTGCTCATTTGTTTTAGAGACAGAGTCTTCTTCTATATCCCAGGCTGACCTGGTATTAAATATGTATCCCAGGCTCCAGTTCAGGGCAACTCCCCGGGTCAGCCTTCTGGTTACTGAGATCTCAGGCATGGACCATGATGCCTGACTTGCATTTAATCATGGCAAATTATTTTTATAGCTGAATTCACAGATGTATTTTGAGAGGTTTTAGCAAATCTTTTCGGATGGCATTGTGAGAACGTTCTGTCTGCCTCTGAGGCAAAGGTAACGGACTGACAGAAAGCGTAAGCTATGGCCGTGCTGCACAAATGGTGCCGAATTGTAGCGAAGACGCAGAACCAGCGCAGCCCATTTGTATGTGAGGGTTTTTGCTATGCAAATTATTACGACGTGAGTTAAAACTTTAAACACAAGTAGCACAAACGTAAGCACGTGCGCTATTTAAGCATAGTGAAAAGAAAATATGAATAGACAAACTGAATCAAAAGCAAGCATGTCACCAGGACTGGCTTGGTTGGTAGTTATCCACATATGACCTAGAAACACAACCTAGACCCATCCTCAGTTTCTCTTTCTGTCACTACTTCAGACATGCCTTATTACTTGCTTTTCCCCCCCTTCATTTTCTTGGGGTTTAGAAAACAAGGTTTACATAATATAAGGGTTTGTCGCCGATCTGCTATTGATGTGGCATCAAGGTGTTTGCGGTTTTCTCAATCCGAGTACAGTGGAAATATTTTCCTTGTCTGCTGCTCCATTTGTATGTAATTACCCTCCTTCTTCCAACATTATCTCCTACTAAAAGGCCCATCTGTCCCGGCCAGTTCCCACCTCCTCAGTGTCACTAAGAAATTCAATTCTCTGTGCAAAGACAGCATTCTTTACTATCTGCCTCTGGCTCTCACGGCATTAGGTCTTCCTTGACTTTTCTCCACTCATAAATACCAGTGACAAACTCTCCTAAGAACTCCATGTAACTTAAGCATCTTTAATTGTATAGGACAATACTTGACACAGTTAGGAACTCAGTTTAACGAAACTAACCTGGAATAGATTATTTTGTTCATATAACGCTTCAGATCCCACTTTTGCTCCATGGCTCTGTGGTCAGGCAAAGGTCAATAATCAAGTAACTGTAGTATTGTAATAGTCTCCCACGCATGTCCACATCATAATTTACAAGTCTATTATAAGTAATCAATAGGATACTGTTTTCATTGTTTCCATGACATTTTCTTCATGCAAATTATTTTTGTTGTCAAAAAAGTTGCAACAATACCTATCAAGATTGATTGTATATTCATTGGGTCATGACATTATAATCTGGTATTAGACTCAGTGGAAAAACAATACCAGGTGGAAAAGTCAGCAGATACCTGCTTATGGTTTACAAAATGTGAATGCCTTCTAACCCCAGCTGTAAATAATAACCCAATAACCACTACATTTCACGTGAAGCGCATGGAAGTGCTGCCGGGGGTGCTCTAGGTGGTAAAAACCAAGGGGTAAAGGGGTCGTTTACTGTAAATAATTACCATCTGCTCCCTCGCAGGGTGGCAAGCCGCGTCATGGTGGAAACTTAGGTACTGTTCCCACCCAGTCATACATTGTTAAAGAGGGCAGATGATATGTGATTCTACAAGTCATTTAGTAAACAGCCATCCCTGAGGCAGAGTGCATTTCCATTGAGAGTGTTCTGCCAAAGGCAAGACAGTGAACCACAATCCAAAGCCAAATGGAATTATCCATCTGCTTTTATCCATATCCGATCCTACTGTAGTTGAGCCACTCCAAATGTCTCCTATAGGCCTGCCCGTTCCCTTGAGAGATGTGCTATGCTCCACCTCAAAATAGAAGAAGAATGTGTAAATAATAAACAAGTAAGTCTTTTAAAAGGTGTTTTAAACAAAAGAATAGTCAGTCTGAAGTGCTGAAGTGTTGACCAGCACAGAAAAAAAAAAAAATCATAGACTAGTTAGAGAATATAACATAAAGAGTTTGTGTAGTGTAAGATGATATTGTGTACCTGTGTGTGTTTATGTGTGTAAGAGGAAGAAAACGAGGCAAAGAGACAGAGGCAGATAGACAGACTGATGGAAATACAGGCAGAGACACAGACACAGGGAAAGGGGCTGAGGGAGGAACAGGAGAAGTGGGAAAAAGAAGGTGTAAGAGAAGAATGGAAAAGAGGGATATGTAACTATATGTAACATGATTATACAGATGTCGGGCCTCTCGGAAACTTACAGGTAACTTTCCATCTCTAGTTTACCACTCTCTTGCAATGAGCATGCATTTCTTTTTCTATAATCCTATAAAATACACATTTACTAAAATCTTATCAGAAGTAATGAATTCAAATGCCTCAAAGTGTTAATTTTCCGGAACTGAAAGAAATGCTAACAGGCAGGATGCGTAGAAGGGTTGAGAGGTGTGAAACTGACTGCAGAGCCAGGAACAGCACATGTAAGACGGTGAGAGAAGATGACACCAGTTATAAAAGCCAACACATAAGGAAGGAGCAAAATCAACAGACACACAAGGAGAGAAGAGAGCTCCAAAATCAGAGTCTCTTCTTTCAAAGCATGTTTCACTTAAAACTGCTTATTTTTATTAAGCTACTGGCCTTACCCACCAAACATGGCTCTGAATATGGGCTTCCTCTGTAGAGTCACCCCACCCTCCAAGATTAGAGAAACGCTGCCTGTGGGAATACTCAAATACTCAAGATCTCAAGGCAGCTCCACAAGGGAGTTCCTCCCTGAGCTGTGCAGAACATCAGCACGCTCTGAAAGGCACACAGCCATTCATGTGTGAGATCCGATATGCAGCAACTTGCTTTTATAGGCAGGAGCTATCAACCCTGGAGGCCAGTGGGTTCTGTTGTGTTTGGTGTTATAGGTGATCCAAGCATGCTTACATTTTACATATGTTGGGTAATATACAAATATTGCACCATTATCTATAGCAGACTTGAGCATGCACAGATTATGTATCTTGACTGGGTCCTGGAACCAATTGTTCAGGATACCAAGGACTGATTAAGCTGGCTTCTAGACTTTCTTTCTGATACTAGATTTGCTCATGTAAACATAGTCATATCACGCTGTGTGGACACTTCACATTTTCCCATGTCCTTAAAAAAAACATGTTCTATAGCTAAATGTAATCAATAAAGTGGTGTCCCTAGTTTCTGTCTGAAATTCGTCTTCAAAATGGCAGATGGATCAGAAAATGATGGCATAATGGAGAATCACTCTGGAAACTGACAAAGAACTATGTAACGTAAGAATTTTGTCAGAATTTCAAAGGCATAAACAATTTTGGCAGTCAGCTAATCCATATTTTGATATTAAAAGGCAAAGAGATCCCAAAAGTTTAAGTAACTTATAAAGAACACGTTAGTTTATGATTGACAAAAATGTGTCACCGTAAAACCTAGTCCCTATGTAATTACACATTTAGAGAGTTATTGGCGGCTTTTAAAAAGAAAATGAAAACATTGTGCACTTTATCTAGTTTGTAAAGTCCTTGATGATGTGATTTGTTTGTATCTCATGCACTAAATATATAACTTTTATAATTACTTTATTTCCCCCTTTTCTTTTCCTGCCTCCAACTTCTCCCGCACACCTCCTTGATTGCTTTCAAATTCATGGTCTTTTTAAAAAATTATTGTCACAAATATATGCATATATTCCTAAATATGTAAGTACAAATAATTTTATACTTGTCTCTTTAACATTTGGTAATTAAATTGTTATTTGACTAATCACATAGTTATATTATAAGACAATAATTATACGATGAGACACAAAGACAATACTGTTAGCCAACAATATTCTGACATAGAAAAATTATGTAGCACAAACCTTATTGATTTAAGCATCTCAATATAGCTGTAACTATGTGACTATGGGGTAGTACATTTTAAAATATTATGATGAGAATAACAACATCTGTCCAGTGATGTTTCTTTCAAGATTAAATGCAGCCTCTATGTCTAACCAAATAAAGTCCCTTCCCGTGGCAAGTGTCTAATTAATGAAAAGTGAGGAAAGCCATGCCCCAAAAGGCTTAAAAAAAAAAAAAAGGAGAAATTTTGTATCTGGGAAATATTTTTAATGTTATCCTTATTCTCAACAAGAAGCTACAGGGATTGTCACAGATGTGGAAGTATGGAAAAACGCAGCCAAACAGCCAGAGTTAAATAACTTTTTGATTTTCCAATGAATATCTGTTAATGACACAGATGTGTCGTTGTGCGCACCTGTGCATCCATGTGTGTGTGCATGTGTGTGTATTATGAGGTTTAAAAGGATGTCTTAATCTGTTAGAATCTTAGGAAAATATAAACCACCCCCTACCTATTTGCAGAAATCTGTGTTCCTTCTAAAACTCTGCCTTCAATAAATATTTGCATAACCTGGCTCTGAGGAGAAACACAGACACTTCTCAAAGTATGATTGCGGAGAAGAAAATAGTTTTTATGCGTCGTAAAAGTATTTTCAAGTGTGGTTCCTAGTCCAGAAAGACTGAGGTTGCCTAGCAACAGCGTGCGTTTATCAACAGGGCACTGAAAAGCTTAGCCCCGCACTGAGAACCGCAGTGCCTATAAACTGCACACTGAGGTTTCCGGCTCTAACTATTACAATTATGTTCAATCAAGTAATTTCCACTCCTGTGAATCTCATCACTAATTGGGAGTTTGACTGAGGGCCTATTTGCTCAAGTCTACGTGAAGAATCTTAAAGACAGTAAGCGGAGACTAAGCTCTTCGAACCTTGCAGCTGTGCTGGGACTGTTTGAGTGACCTATGCCCTCCATCTCTATCTCTCTCTCTCTCTCTCTCTCTCTCTCTCTCTCTCTCTCTCTCTCTCCTTTGCTTTACTACAGATGGACCTTATGGACTTCAGGTTAATTCTGATAAAGGGCTAAAAGTGGGAGAAGTGTTCACTGTTGACCTGGGAGAAGCCGTCCTCTTTGACTGTTCGGCTGATTCATATCCCCCCAACACCTACTCCTGGATCCGGCGGTCTGACAATACAACCCATGTCATTAAGCATGGGCCTCGGTTAGAAGTTGCCTCTGAGAAAGTGGCCCAGAAGACCACTGACTATGTGTGCTGTGCTTACAACAATATAACGGGGAAACAAGATGAAACTCGTTTCACCATCATCATCACTTCCATAGGTAAGTGTGTGAAAGGACAAGCCTTTATAAAGCATAAAGGCATGCTAGCCTCGCTTTCCTAAACGCCTGCAGAGAATATGATTGATTGCTCTCTTGTTAAATGGTCTCTTTTATCGCTTAGCTAAGCCATGGATTTTGAGGCTCAAAGAATGACAACTCAAAACAAAGTGGAGAGAAATTCAAATGCCAGCTATGAAGAGTCAGTAAATTGCTCCTAAATGCATGTTACTGCTTTGCAGATTTTACAAGCAGGAGTATAAAAGGAATTATATTGATCGTTTAAGAGTTTATGTGTGCAGTTACACATAAATAGTTAAGTTAGGCTAGAAGAACAAATACGCATTAGTTGGGATCTTTGTTTCCATTTTTTCCACTCACTCCTTGGTCTTCATTGGTTCCTCTTCTTTTTTTTAACCCTCTGTGTCCCTGAAGTGAATAGAAGAATTTATCAGGAGCCTCCTCAGCTTGGAAACAACTGTCATAATTCTGTAAAATTTTGCATCCTCTAAAAGATGCATCTTTAAAATGTCATGGCCCCAAAGCTTAAGAGTCATCAACTCATTGGAAATAGGAGAAAACGAGAAGCAGGATAGGAGCCTACCATAGAGGGCCTCTGAAAGACTCTACATAGCAGTGTATCAAAGCAGATGCTGAGACTCATAAACAAACTTTGGGCAGAGTGCAGGGAATCATATGAAAGAAGAGAGAGTTAGTAAGACCTGGAGAGAACAGGAGCTCTACAAGGTCCAAATATATCTGGGCACAGGGGCTTATCTGAGACTGATTCTCTAACCAGGGACCATGCATGGATATAACCTAGAACCCCTGCTTGGATATAACCCATGGCAGGTCAGTATCCAAGTGGGATCCCTAGTAAGGGGAAAAGAGACTGTCTCTGGCATGAACTCTATGGCTAGCTCCTTGACCTTCCCAGCCCCTGTGGGAGGAGCAGCCTAGCTAGGCCACAGAGGAGGTCATTGCAGCCAGTCCTGATGAGAACTGATAAGCTAGGGTCAAATGGAAGGGGAGGAGGATCTCCCCTATCAGTGGACTTAGAGATGGGCAAGGAGGAGATGAGAGAGGAAGGGTGGGATTGAGAGGGAATGAGGAAGGGAGCTACAGCTGGGACACAAAGGAAATAAACTGTAATTAATACAAAAAAATTATAATTAAAAAAAGAGCCATCACCTGTTAGGGACAGGTAGCAGACTCCCATACCATCAGCTTCTCTGTGGACCATGATTCTGTTCTCTGGTGTGATTTCCTGTACACCTTCACTCATCCCCATAGAGTCTTGTAACAGTGGCCATCTTACATCCTTCTCTTCAAAGCTCTAAGGCTTGTACACCAGCTGCCTCTCTCAGAAACTCTAAAAGCCAAAGAAAAGTTCAAATTAACAAAACTGAACCATTTTCTTCTCCTCCCCATACCTATTCTTTCTGTACTCTCCTGATTTTTAAGTGAATTTCCCTAGACTCTACCAGCCTAGCAGAAAACTAAATGTCACCTCAAACTCTTTCCTATATTTACACCCAGTACCACACTCAAGCACTAAATTCTGTCTATTCTACAGTTCTAACTCCCAAATCTCCTTTCTTCTTTCCTTTCTTCTACTTTCTCTTTGCCTTCCTTTTTATCGCCCTGTCTCCTTTCCTCCTTCACTCTTTCCTTTTTTAAATATTCCATTATTATCTGTATCTTTGCATACAGAAAAAGAGACAAACCAGATCCAACTTGAGAAAAAAAAAATCCCACAAGTTTGACTAGGAAGCAATGATTTAGATGATTGTGTTGGTGAAGGAAAGAATGTACAAAACAGAACAACCATGAATCGACTTCTGTTACATGTCTTTTTTTTTTTTTTTTGGTGCCTAGAATAAGAATACAGAAGCTTAAAATACAAAAGCTCAGTATATTATGTTCAATAAAGGAAGCAAGGATAAAATACCTGTTTATACAGGGCTTTTTTTTTTAATCCTTACGTTAAAACTTGCCATTTACAGCTATTTAGCTTCTTGCATCAAAATCACATAAACAGTTTGCTTTTTAAAATGTAGTTTCTCTCTGGAGAAATAACACAGCAGTTAAGAGCACTGGCTGTTCTTCCAGAGGACCTGGGTGTAATTCCCAGCTGTTTAATGGCAGCTCACTACTGTCTGTAACTCCTGTTCCAGGGGACCTGGCATCATCATACAGATATATGTGTAGACAAAACACCAATAGAGATAAAATTAAAATAAAGAAAAACCATGTGGTGGTGTGATACACCTTTAATCCCAGAACTCAGGAGGCAGAGTTGGGTGGATCTCTGTGAGTTCCAGGCCAGCCTGGTCTACAGAGTGAGTTCTAGAACAGCCAAGACTACAGAAAGAAATCCTGTCTCAAAACCCCAGCCCCAAAGCTATTTCTCAAGTGGCTGAGGCAGGAAGAATCCTTTGTCAATTTTAAGACCAGCATGGAGTACATAGCATGATCTTATCTTAAAATAGACAGATAAACAAACAAATTGTTAAGACACCCCAGACCTACTGGATCCGGAGCTCTAGCTATGGTGTTTGAAGTCAAATAATATTTAGTCCAAGTGCAACAACTACTTCCTACTAAACAATTTTATTCCTTCTCCAGTCTCCGGCAGGGTTGCAGACTAGAGAGTCACAGTTTCACAGCTAGGCTTAAGTTGTTTAAGATTTAAGAAAATGTTTTAAGGTCTAGAAAGATATTTTTTAAGTTGATAAATACAAGATATGATAAAGGATGATTTAGTTACAAAACATTAGACTGACCTAGATAGGATAGGTAGTATTTTCTTTAAGGTTGCCAAATACAAATGAGCTAAACATTTTGAATGTAACTTTTATATATGACTTTCCTGATTGTTTCATAACTCTTTTTACCGTATGTCATTTATTATAAATAAAGAAAGTCCATATTCATTTGGTAAAAAAAGTTTTTCCCTCTAATGAATTTTTAATTCATTAAAAAGATCTTAGAGTGCCACAAAGAGTTATCAAAGTTTACAAAGCCTACAGGCTGATGAAGAAATGTGTGTTGTGTGTTTTCTTAGAGCTCTTTGCGATTAAAGGTAACTATACTTGTAAAATCAAGTATATCGGGATTCATACATTGTCTTGGGGAACCTTTTTTTGAGGAAGATAATACTGCCTAGAATATTGTTGTCCAGTAGAACTTTGCACAAAGAAGAAACCGTCAATACCATCACCTTTCAACATGGCAGCCACTAACCTTTCTTAGCTTTATAGCAATACAAACATGGCTATGCCTCTGAGGATTAAAGTTTTATTTTTATTTTGCTGTTATTAATTTGAATTTAAATTACACATAACTACATCTTTCTAGTGCCTAATGTATTAGAGAAGAAAGCTACAAAATTCTTACCTAAATTATGCCTCAATAAAAACTGATATGTTTACCTTCACATCCCTCTAAAGAATATGTTTAAAAAGATTAAGACTAGCGCTCATTAAACCATTATGTGGCACCTATTATGGTCTAATAAGACATAAGCACTGAGAGTCAAACAGCCCCTGATAAGAATCCCTGCTTAAAATATGTTTCAATTATACAACTAAAGAACATCTTTTGCCTTATAAGTTAATGTATTTTTATAAACTCAGCCAGCTTTTCACCATGTAGCTAACTGAAAGATAGTTTAAAACAAGGTGTGTGTGTGTGTGTGTGTGTGTGTGTGTGTGTGTGTGTGTGTGTGTCTGTGTGTGTGCCAGGTCATATATGGAATTGTTTGGTGGCAATCTTGTATCATACTAAACTTGTTCTTTATGCCCATCACAAGCAAAAATATAGATGTAATATGTGGCAGTATATTACGGTTAAGACTTTCCCATTTCTTAAACTGTCTGCACTAACGCTCAGCCAGTAAGTTTTCAAAATATCAGAAGCCCCCAGTATTTGACTAAGATCTTATTCCAAAGACAACTATGGTCTTCTTATCAGATAATTGTCTTTAGCGAAGTCTCAAAACCTGTTTGACCTGTACAGAGACTGGCATATGTTATTGTAGTAAATAAGGAGAACAGGTGCTCATTTTCCAGAGTGATCCAGGCTTGAAAACATTAGCAGCCTCATTGTGGTTTTTCAGAGCTGTTTCCCAGTCCTCAGTGTTCACAGAGCCTTGACTCCAGCAACAGTAAAAAGAGGAAGAAAATCAGCACTGCCAATGTGATGTGTTTTGTTCAATGTTTCTGTTTCAAAATGAATGAATTTCTGCAACACAGATTAAGCATACATGAAGTGACACACAAGACCACTGCTTTCGAGGTCAGCTGAATACTTACGGAAAATTCATTCTGACAGACAAGCCGTATTCAGACTTGTAGGGAATTTTAAATCATTTCTAAGGATGGGATATTTGCCTTTACCATGTTTCTAGAACCACACTGAAGTTTCATGTCTCCAGAGTCAAGTTGCAGGAAATAGATGAATCTCTTTATTTTTAATGAGGCAAAACTATATAACTTCTTTAAAGTCTCAGCAATAAGATGTAGATGGCAAAGGGAAAAGGACTCAACAATGACTCTAGGGTCACAGACATGGAAAGAAAATAACAAGGCCAGGAAATAATCAAACATTTTATTGGCAACCTTCAGTTAGGGAGAGAACGGCTAGAGAATGTGACAGCTCTCTGTCTTCAGCGTGTGTGAAGCCAGACAGATGGAGACTTCCACCTCTGTGGACTATGATTCTCATCTAATCTGAGATATTATTAATTGACCTTTCCATAGCTCAGGGGAGATATCTAGAGAAAACAGAGGCAATTGGGCAGAGTGACACAGAAAATACATGACAAAATAACATCTGAATTCAAAGCCTTTCATTTTAACAATCTTAAAAATGTTATTCTTTTAGGTCACTAAGTTATTGATGGGGCTATTGTCCTTTTAATCAATACATATAGGTTCATGCAATGTATATGTAAAACAGTGTAAATGTCTTGCATCTCATAGTAATGATTTGGGTTTAGTTAATACATTAAAATTTGTATATGTGTTTAAATAAATTTTCTTTGAATAATTTTCTTAACTAATTTAAGTTACAAATATGAAATACATCTACAAGATGTTCTATTTTGTACTCATGAGAACTAATGAAATATATAGCTAAAAGTAAAGTCTAGTTGTTTCAAGGAAATAATAGCCATTAAAATAATAAATTAGCATTTATATTTTTAAAGTAATATTATTACCATAATTAAAGACATTTTAATAGATATCCATATTTAAGATATTAAATGAACCGAAATTACTACAATAAGATGCACTATACCTACATATATACATAATGAGAATGAGAATATTTATGGAAATGTAGCCATCTGCTTGGAATTTAAAGATTTGTATATGAAAGTATTCAAGTGTATAATCACAAGCAACTGAGGACATGCACACAGCTTAAAAGGTATCTATTATGGATGTGTTTTAGATTTCAGAATTGTAACCCAAATCTTTCCATTATTAAAAAAGTAGGAAAGGGTACGAAATAGGAAGAGAAATGGATTAATTTCCCCAACTGGCTACAAAATTCTGAACTGTGGGTCACTGAAGACACAGATCAGGGTACTTTAACCTTGACCTCTGAACCCTCAGACCTTGGCTGATGGCTTCTTGAGAACCTACGACAGAATAATTGTGTCTGTCAGGTGGGCCGTGAGAAGCGTGCAAGGAACACAGCACAGAGCACGGCGTCTTCGTCTCCACGGGGACATGAGGCAGCTGTCATAATGAGTGAACAGATTGGATGGAGGGGTTCTCAGGACTCCATTCTTGCCTAGAAATAGACACACGGCCTGTGGAACATATGGCTGTCCTGCTTGGGGTGCAGCCTCAAACAGCAGGGTAGCGACACCATGGAGACCACACCTCTTGCCCATATTTGCACTTAACATGTTCCTCCATTTTACTTGTTTGCTTAAGGAGGGGGCAAATAGCATTTGCCCTCTGGCTTTGGTAAATGAGTCCGTCGTGTTTAGATAGGGTGGCGTGTTGGGTACAAATGAACAACATAAACTCTGAAAGAAGAAAAAGCTCTTCCAAATGCCCAGGCAGGTCCCAATATATTCTCTGAGCAATAAGAGCAGAATTTCCCTACTGTCCTATTTTCAAGTCAGAGTTCTAGAAGCTCATCCATCCAAAAGCACACTTGGCTAAGACTGAGAATACAGCAATAGTGCCCTTTGACGTGCATTCTAGATAGAGAAACAGCGACAAGGGCGGGAAACCATTGAACTCTAGGTGAGGGGCCATGTTTTCAGAAAATGACGAAGTGCACCCTCACTGTCCATGAAGACAAGACTGGCCTTCACCTCAACCAAGCTTTTGAGCTGACAGGAATTGATCACAAGGTGGGTCTCTGGTTGCAGACAGAGAGAAGCCAATGAGAGGAAGTGAGAGAGGAAGTGAGAGAGCAATGAAGAAGGAGTCTAAGAACATAAAAAAGAATGAGGAATGGGAAGGTGGTGATCCTCTGTAGAAGGGGATCTAAAAATTTAAATACTTAAATACTTGTCCAGGTGGGAAAAGTTAAAATTGAAGGATGTGGAAAAGTGTGTTCCTTGTGTCTTAGAGTAAGACAGCCAACTATTGTATGTTAAACCTGTTTTTACATTTACACACACACAAATAATAACCCTTTTTTTTTCATTGGGTTTTCTCTGGATTCTCATGCCAAAAGAAGGAATAGGTTAGGGCCTTGATACCAGCTAGAGGGAGAACATGTCTCCAGAGAGAGATTGTTTCTTACAACAGAATACTTTGATGTTGTGGAGTTCTTTTATCCATAGTCAACCTATGATGACATTCAACCATGATGTGACAAAATTAGACTTCAAATAAATGTTTGATTAAAATCCAGTTCGGCAGAGAAATTGCTTGCATCACTCATGAACAAACAGGGTATTAATATGACCACTGGTGGATAGTTAATAGGATCACAGTGGCCCCCCAAAATGGCACAGGATTTCACATAATAAAAAACATCCTTGTCTCTCAAACTTAAAAGGTATATAAGAAGAGCAATGTGTGTTCAAATTAGAGGAGACAGCATGGTTTTCATAAGCTGACTCCTAGGGTTTGTTGTACAAGCCATGCCACAGTAGAAAAAGACTGGACATTTTCAAATGATAGTATTCTATAGGGGAAAACCAAGATGTTTTTACATAGCCCTATATTAAGACAAGGAGATGGGTAAGGGCTGGCACTCATTTCCACCCCTGGAGACATTAACAGAATCTTTATGAAGGAAGAGGAAGAGGATGCTGGCTAGGCACTTACTGAAGAAATGAGTAGCCACCATATTCCTCACCACACCCAGATTCTCAGGCTATGTCTGGAATGGAAGTAGCATCACAGTTTTTGAATTATGATTTCAGGGCACACTGATCTGGGTAGACAGGCGACTGCCACAACTCATTTCCACATGAGTATCGGAGCTAGCTGCATGATAAAGATTATAGCCACTTCCTTCTCTATGGGTTAATATGTTACCAACCATATCATAGTCCAGACCTCATATTAACATAACCACAATCAGTAAGTTGTATCAAACAGCACTGGAAGGAGGCAGAATGAAACACAAAAGGCCTGGGATTATCCCCAACATTATAACCTGAGTGACTTTTGCAAGCCTCAGCTTCCTCATCCAGAAGAGATGGTAATATAATATAATTGCTCTTTAATAAGATTGCCAAGGCTATTACCTTGGCTGTTACCTTAACCCAGAGCCTGGTATTTTGTAAGCATTCAGCGTCTGTATTATATCTACTAGCACCATAGCTAATACTGTTCTAGTAATAAAAGCAATGTCCTACAAAATAAAGTAACTTTTAGATGCAAGGTGGGATTTTACATTTAAATTTTCATTTCATCGTCAGGAGTGTGTGTGTTTGTGTGTGTGTGTGTGTGTGTGTGTGTGTGTGTGTGTGTGTGTGTAGTGCACACGTGGAAGTCAGAAGACAATTTTCAAGAGGCAAGTTTCTCCTTCCACAGTGGGTTCCAGTGCCAACAGTAGGTCCTCAAGTTTGTACCGAGCGCTTTTACCAGCTGAGCCAGCTGGCAGTCCTGACTTTAAATATTTTTATTGAAATTTGCATACACGTGCTATTTGGGAAATTGGCATTTCTTGATTGGTTTTTAAAAAAAAAAAAAAGTAGTAAAGTGTGTTTGAAATAAGCACCCTTCCTCTCATATCCTTAAATATATACTTTCATGGCCCTGAAAGGGTCACATCCTTGAATCACACTAAAACAGCAAGAGCACAGGACGAGAGGACCCTGCATCTGAGGGCATAGAGACAAAGAGCTGAAAAGGATATGGGAAGGTGACAAACACACGTGGAAAATGAGGCAGGAGCAATTTTCTAGGGCTAGCACATTATGTCAGTATTTCCCAGGTACCAGCCACATCTCCAATCACAAATATCCCCAGGGAGTTCGGGGTTTAGGTTTTAAATGAACATATCCCACCCATTTGGGGACGAAGGAGAAAGAAAGGAGAGGAGAGGGGCAGGCAATGGTGTTTTATTTAAGTAGAGAATAGCCATAAGCGTTTCAGATAATATAGTAATTTATAACTATTTTTTATTAGGACTGGAGAAGCTTGCACAAAAAGGAAAATCACTGTCTCCATTAGCGAGTATAACTGGAATATCACTGTTTTTGATTATATCCATGTGTCTTCTTTTTCTGTGGAAAAAGTATAAACCTTACAAAGGTAGGTTAAAAATGGGGGGGGGAATAATACATTTTATTCTTCTAATCAGTTCTAAGCACTCTAAAACAATACCTTTCTCTATTTTTCCCTTTCTTTTTCTTTAGCTATAAGACAGAAGCTAGAAGGCAGGTAATGCATATGTTTCTGTGAAACAAACACGTTTTAAAACTTTCCCCTCAGTGATAGCCCTGGATTAACATGTCTGTTTGTCTTTTCAGACCAGAGTCAGAATACAGAAAGGCCCAAACATTTTCAGGTAATGGCCAGACTGGGAAGGAGCGTAATCCACAGTGATGAATATTAATTATCAGCGTTTTCTGCTGGTGTTTACAGATACCACTGTCAGTGTCGTAACATCAGCTGCTGGTGTCAGCACAACCACAATCCCTACATTGTCCTGTGTCTTTCCTTACGAAGCGCAGCCTCTGCCGTGGTTCTGTGTAAGCCACACAGGTCTGTAGGGTAAGCTAGGAAGGACTCCCCTCTCCCTTCACAGGCAAGACAAGTGAAGATCAGGAAAAGTGAAGTTACTGAGTTCTGCTCCATTCTCGCTCAGCCCTCTTATCGATAGTCTGTAAGATCAAAGAGGGCCTTTTGTAGTTTCTGGAGGACATACAATTCTGGCACCCCGTCCTAAGGAGAGGGAAAAAAATAGAGGTATGATGAGGGCCTGGGCTGCTCCTTTGTTCCCAGCTGACCCTTGACCTTCACTGTTGACTCTGTACCGAGCTGTTCTGAGTTAACAATGGAGCTTATGCTTATGACAGCGGTGTCGCTGAGAGCCAGGTTTCAGTCCTATATCTGACATATCTTCCTTGGGAAAAAATTTTTTTTTCCTCGGCCTCAAATAGCTTATCTATTTAAAAGGTATTTTTTTTAAACTTCCTTCTGGACCTGCTATCAGAATTCAAATAAAATGACATGAAGAATGGCTCTTAATTAAAAAAAAAAAAAAAAAAAAAAAAGGCTCTCCCTCTTAGCCAGTCCTTGCCTTCTTACAATAACTGGGTGTCACAGAGGGGAAGAGTCCCAAGACCATCCAGCTCCTCCCAACCACCTCCAACCTCTTCAATTCCCAGATAAAGTCTGGGTAATATCCCTATTGTGCTGCAGCAGGTTTTTTGTGTTTGTGTAGTTCCTGTTTTAACTCATTTTTTTCAAACGTTCTCTGTTAGATCTATCAAAGCACAGTAGATATCATGGGTAGATAAAAGTTGCTGTGGCCCAATACAACCGTAGAGGACTAGGAAATAGTAAATGGTTTCATGCAAACGTCACTTCAAACAGACAATAAAGATAAGTTCTTTGGATGTTCCCAAGAAACAAAAATAAATGCATAAAATTGTAAGTACTAGAGGAAAGCATTGCTCCTCTAAGTAGTGTCCCTTTTCCTTTCAGGCCATGAAGATGCTCTAGGTGACTTCGGAATATACGAATTTGTGACTTTTCCGGATGCGTCTGGTGTGCTCAGGGTTGGTTTTCCTAGTAGCCGATTAACCAGGAAGTAGAGTTCTGCTTTCCCAGAGGTGTAAGCAGCATTCGCTTAAGAACTAGCACAGTGCTACCCAATGGCTTCAGGAGCCCTCACTGCATCCTACAGTGTTGATTTACTGTCTGCTGAGACTTTTGGAGCCGAGGCATTTTCCTCATTTTTCTTCTCTTATAGAGATAGTAAAGCTGTCACAAATAAGGATAGACATTCTTTACCTGTATATCCAATGAACAGAGAATTAACTAAGCTGACTATATAGAGAAAAGAAAAGCAGAGGCTCTGGAGCCCCTGGCTTAAGTTACCCCATGTTATTTCAATGACCTCGGCCCTTCACTTTGCAGAACTCTCTCCATTCCTCACGTTCCTTCCCTTCTGCCTCATAATTCTCAACAGCTTTTCAAAGATATTCAATCACATTCTTGAAGCTACTTGCTTGTCATAAGGAAGTTATCGTATAGTAAATACATTTTTATTATTACCCTAAAGGTGCAATCATTTTAGAAGGCAGGGCTTTTATAGTTGAAACCATTTGATTTCAGTAAGTCTCTTTTAAAAAATTGTAAAAAAAAAAAATCAGTTTCATGCAAAATGTGCCCCTGTACTATTAGCTCATGAGCGCTTACAGAGCTGTAAAAGACTAGTTTTTCCACTGTTTCCTTATTCCCCTGTAATAGTCCACTTTCAGATGGAACAAAAAAACGGATTGCTTGCTTCTGGGTGTTCTTTCTTCCATTTTTTCAGAAAAGAACTATTTGCTATTAGGGAATAGTCCCTTTGTTCTAAGCGTTCTATCACCCTGCATGCTTCATCCTAGTGAGTTTCCTGGCTACAGAGTTTATCTCAGAAATGTCCTGTGAGTAATGGAGAGGAGTTGATTGGATTTCATCCTCCCTGGGGGTGAGTCAGTTAGCCCCCATGTTGTCACAGAGGAGGGCACCTGACAAAGGCTCTGCAGCGCCCTCTTCAATCTTAACAACCAAAAAGATAAAATAAGTCGATGGTTGATCCATTAACTACAAGAACTTTCACAATGTTGTAAAACTCCCTTTTCGGGTGTATCTTCAAAAATTAGAGCAGGGACTGAAGAGGTAAAAAGACTTACTGAGTTTTGAAACATAGAGTTTGTTTAAAAAAAAAAACAAACATATTTTATTCTTAGTAGTTCACTATACAGGAGTGAAATTTATGTAAGAAATTTATATTTAGCCTGGTGATTAACACTGGGGTGCATAGTATGAGGCATTAATTAAGGCATCTGTTGGTTCTAAGTACTTCAGTGTCAGCGATTTGAAGCAGAAAAATGCCCTTGAGTTGCATCTCAGAAGCTTTTCTTAATTCTGTAACGCACAGTATAACTTGGTTTGGAACTATTCCAATTTTTGAATCAGAAATTCGTAAGAATTTTTCTGACGTTCTTAACTGGCCATGTCAGGTGCTTTGAAGATGAAGTGAGAAGTCAAAGCAGACAGCTGAAGGGGGGAAATGAGGACAATGATGTGGGGAGGATGATGTGAATGTGAAGAAGCCAGTGTGGTTCTTACGTATGAAGATTGGAAGTCCAAGGCCATGAACATAAAAAGAAAACAACTACTAACAAAAGAAAAATTCTCAAAATTATCCTTAAGGGGGGAATAAGTTTAATTACTGGTTTGTTTTCATCTCAGAAATCAAAACAATTTCTTTTATTGTGGTACACATAAGACCAATCACTCTCTCTTTACCTGTTGTACATTTCATTATCCGTTTAGCACATCTTCCAGGAGTTGGGCAGAAGGCAAATGCATAAAATTAACAGAGTTGCTATTATTCAGTAGTTCTAAGATCAGATCGTGTATGTTAACATACGTCTTCCATAGCCCCTGACCATCTTCACACCAAGGGAAATGAATTCTAAATCAATTTCTAAATCAATTATAAATTCTATCAAATTCTCAACACAAAATGACTAGAGGAGTCACGGGCCATGGCCCGTAGCGCTTTCCTTGAGAACTTTAGTAAGAGGAATGACCACTTTCCAAGACCACATGAAACGAACGCATCCCAATACAGCTTGGTGGAGTGTGAACACATGCCTCCCTTGTTACCCAGCAGACACTTCTCTAGGGGGTGCTGTGTAAATATGAAGGGCCACAGGTGAACAGAAATGTGCTTAAAATGGGAGTGAGTAGGAAGGAAGACCAGACTGACAAGAAACCGGAAGACAATGTTTGCAGAAAGAAAGAAGTTGTAAGCTAGAAGGAATAGGAGGAAAAAACACACAATGCAGGTTTCAGCAAAGTGAGGATTTTTCCCAGAGAAATTCGCTACACTCTTTCATGTTCAAAGAAGCCTTTAGTTTTCAGAGTCATCCCCACATTAAAACCAAACCCTTTGTCTTTTTACTCACTTGCAATATGATTAGGACCCTTAGCTTCACATTATTCTTTCTGATAAGCCATCCTTGCAAAATGTGTCCAAAAGAGCAGTTAAAATATAATATAATAGTTATATGTGCTCTCTGGTTCTAGGCTAAGCTGGGGTTTTCTTTTGCTACTTTTCTTTTTATTATTTTTTGTACAATATTTCCAGCTTCTTAAATGATTTTTAAAAAAGCTGTTGATTTATCAAACTATTCCTGAAACAACACAGTGTGAGTGCAGGAAACTATAGCCAGGAGGAAGTCACGCTTCAAAGGGGGTGAGGGTCCATTCTCTACCTCTTACACTGATGCCTGTTTCCGGCTAATCTTGGGTTACACCTTTTCTTTCAATATGCTGTATTTTCTAGATGCCAAATAGGTGCGCCCCCGTCTCTGATGGTGTAACAGGGCCAGATTTTCATGGAACAATTTATGAAGTTATTCAGCACATCCCTGTACAACAGCAAGACCATGAGGAGTAAGTATGAGTTTGCATTTGGTGGGTGCAATGGAGGCTCTCAGAGGCCAGTTTCCTGCATGCCTGAAGATGTAGTGAGAGCCCCCAAAAATATTAAAACAGGAAACCGCATCTTCAAAATGTGAAATTCTTCAAGATACACCCTCACTAGAAAATAATTTTGAAAAAAAAAATGAAACAGGCAAGTATAGAAATACCACCCAGAGCCATGCACGCACGCAGGCAGGTGGACAAGAGGCAAAACTCTGGAATTGCCTGTCTGCTGCCTGTGTTTCTCCTTTTCAGTGTGTCTCCCAGGAAGCCACATCTGGGTGTGAAAGGCTCAGTGAGGCCACTGCCCAAGCCATCTTAGCTATCCTCTTGACGTCCCAGGGACCATAGTAACTTTATAGCCACCACGCTCTGTCACCTAAAGATAAGGCCAGGCAAGAAGGCTACCAGAGGAGAATGGCCCAGTGAGCATCAAGGGTCCAACACGTTTCCACGCAAGGCCGCCTACTTCCAGCTGCGTAAGACTGCTCCCTCTGAGGATAAAAACCTATGTAGAAGCCAAAGGCAGTAAACCACCACGCAGTTAAACTCAAGGCTCTTACTGGAAGATCTGTCTCTTCTTTGCCATGGAGAAGCTAAGCCCACAGTCTTGACACAATGAAGTCAACTTCTGTTTTTGTGTCTGTAGCTGCCTGCAGGCCTTAACTGCCACAAATCATCTTCCGCCCTTTCTTTAGTTGCCGTTTGTTGACTTTGAAAAGAACATCAATAGCAGCTTCCCTTCTGGCAAACGGAGCAGCTCCAGCAGAGTAATCCCCCTCACCTCCAGGCGAAAAGTAAAAACAACAGCTGGCAGTACCCAAGCGCAGGGAAAAGCATCTCGTGGAGAAAGAACCCGCGCAACCCACACACAAGGACCATGCAGCTGATCTAGGGCTAACTATGTGACAAGAATCCCATCAGAGAAAATACTCCTAGAGTCAAGCAGATAAAAAAAAAAAAAAACAGTTCCTAATGAAACTAAGTAGTTCTGGTTTGAAATTTTAAAAAAGTCTGGCCCCGAAGCAGCATATTTCTAGCACTACACTATAAAAGAGAGCACCATATCGTGATCCTTGAAAAATATAAAACACTATTTCAGTGTTTCAGGCCAGGTATTGAAATAATACCTGGCCTTCTTAACTTTCCAGAATGAGAAGTGGGGGACTCTTTTTTTTTTTTTTAATTGATATATATTAGTTGTGTATAGTTGTGGGATAAAGTGTACTATTTTGGCCCAGATATACATTGCATAAGTATCAAGTCAGGTTAATTAGCTTGTCTACTGCTATTTCTGAGACCCTGTACTCTTTGCAAGGTTGAATCCAGTGAAAAATAAAAATCACTTCGGCGCCGGGGAAAACGGCTCAGTTTGTCAAGTACTTGCCGTGAGAGCGAGGACCTGAGTTTGGAATTCCAGAGCAGACATAAAAAAAAAAAAAAAAAAAAAAAAAAAATCACAACAAAGCAGCGAGCACCTGGGACCTCAGTGCTGGGAACCAGAGATAGAAAACACCCAAGAGCTTGTGGGCAAGTGTGTCTAAGCAAGGAGTAAGCTCCAAGTTCAGGGAAACGTTGTCTCCAATAAGCACACACACAAACAAACAAATAAACAAGTAAGGTGAAAGCGATTGAGGAAAACAGCCGGCGCCGGCGAAGGACCTCTCCGCTTGCACACACATGCACACACACTTGGACATGTACCCACCGACAAATGCCTATGCACTCACGGGAGCCCATCACGCTGACACATCCTGCACACATACATGCACACATAAAACTTTTCATGGTAATTTTTTTTTGATCTCTGTTTAAATTCGGTTGGTTTTCTACATAGCCTGTGTTCTAAATCTCTGTTTTTACTGCCAGAATGTTAGCAAGCCAATAAGGACTGAAGGTTTGTCTTTTTTAAGAAATGGTCCTAAGGCTGAAATACGTAGAAAGTTGTGAATACAGCAGGTACAACCTCAGAATACAAAACAGAGTAAATGACTTAATTTTGCATCTCAAAAAAAAAAAAAAAAAAAAAAAAAAAAAAAAAAAAAAAAAAAAAAAAGAAAAAAAAAAAAAAAAAAAAAAAAAAAAAAAAAAAAAAAAAAAAAAAACCTGATTTTTAAAACTCTTTCTATGTAGATAGGTGCCTGTAGGAAATGAACAAAATCTTCAAAAATCCTTGGCCCAAATAAAAGTTTATTTCAGGAACAATTTCTGGTGGTTGGAAACGAAGCAGAAATGATTTCTCAAGCACAGGATTATTTTTTAAATTGCTGCTGAGAACATGGGGCTTGAAGAGGCAGTCACCCCAGATCGTTAGTCCCTCTGCACTCCAATCCTGGTGCATACCCTGCCCCTCTTTTCTAAAGTCCTCAAGCCTACTTCCGCCTCTCTACAATTTCTTTTCAAAACATGCAAAAAGAGCAGCATCTCTACTACCCCAAGTAATACAGTATACCTTTCAACATTTTCCTCCTAACACATGCAATCAGAAAGTCAACAATTAAAAAATTAAAACACAGATTTATACTACCTATTCTAAATTTTAAAAAAGCAATTAAATAGAATACTTTGTGGGTTTTTTTTCACCAAAAATTGTTTCAGATTTATTTTTCAGAAACCCACAAATATTTCCATCGTCTTTCCTGTGTTCCAATGAGAAGGATTAAATAACACTCAGTCTTTTAAGGATTTCATAATTTTGTAGACTCCCTTTTGCTTAACAAAAGATCTTCCATAAAATAAATACTCGTTCATAGACTAAACGTTGCCTGTAGATGCAGAGATGATTTTTGCTTCCTGATTGCTTATGATTTTCACTGTGCCCTACTAAATTTAAAGATCAATTTCATGAATGGTGAGTAGTAGAGCAGGCTGTTGACTCTGTCCCATCCCCCTTTCCCAAAGGGAACGAGCTAGCTCTAGGGGAAGAATTCTTTTCTCTAACCTTTATTGAGAGTCTTCTCTAAGGTAAGAAAGCTGGTAAAGTAATTTCATGCTTTGATCCTTGAACTGTTTTTTTTTTGTTTGTTTGTTTGTTTGTTTGTTTTTATTTGTTTCCAATTTGGTTTGGGTTTTTTTGGAGTACATATGACTGCTGGAAACTTAGACTGCTGTTTAACAAATCAGTAAATTAGTCTGTGTTCATAAGCTAATACTCTGCTCAATGATTTGTTTATTGAACAAATGCTATTCATTGATAATGTTAGATGATCTTTACCTGGTATGTTTTGAATCCAACATTGGTTATTAGTATCTTTTTAGAATTTTTATTCAGTATTTTTCACAATTTATTTTGATCATATTCTTTCCAACTCTTTCTATAGCCTCTCCACCTCCCTACATACCCAAATACGTGTTCTTTCTCTCTCTGGAAAAAAAAAATCAAAACAGATTTTTTTAAGGGAAAAAAAGAAGAAAGAAGAAAAACAATAAGACAAAAAAAATTACAAAAACAAAACAAAAAGTCCTCCCAACTACAAAAAAAAAAAAAAAAGTAGTCTATTTTGAGTTGGCTAAGTACTCCTGGGTATGGGCCTACCCAAGTGTATGGTTGATATGCCCAGTGACCCACCATTGGGGAAAACTGATTTTCCCTTTCCCAGCTGGTATCAATTGCAAGTAGCTTTTCAGTTAGAGGTAGGACTTCACGCTTACTTCCCTCTCTCAGCGCTGGCATTTCATCTGATTTGAACCAGTGCAGGTCTTGTGTGTGCTGTCACAGATGGTGAGTTCACGCATGCATCAGCCCTGTTGTGTCTGGAAGAATATCTATTTCCTTGGCATCATCACCACCACTTCCCTCCCAGCTCGTAGAATGTTTGCCTCCCCTCTTCAGCAAAGTTGCCTGAGCCTGGAGAGGAGGGGTTTGACAAAGACATCCCACTAAGGGCTGAGTTCTCAAAGTCTTTAACTCCCTGTACAATGCCCAGTTGTGGATATCTCTTTGTCCATTAGCATCTACTGCAAGAGGAAGCTTCCCTGATGAGAGCTGAGGAGTGTTCTGGTGTGAAGATATAGTGATATATCATTAGGATTCATTTTATTGCTATGTTTCTTTGGTAGAATAGTCATAGTAGGTTTTCCTCTAGGCCCATCAACTCTCTAGTCTCAGATTCTTGATCACTTCAACAGTGTCACATAAGGGTTCTGTCTCATTGAGAGAACCTTAACCCAATCAAAATGTGGTTGGTTACTCACATGTATTATCTTGAAAACACGACGTTTACCTAATTAAAACTTGAGTTTCAAAATGTAATTATCTACAAAACGATTGTTTATCCTTTTTACTATTGATTGATAAATACAGTTTTCTTAGATCAGCTCAAAACACTCATATTCTTCATCTTCACAGCTATGGACAGGAGAAAGGTAATATTAAGGTTCTTTTTATCCATAAGTCTAGAAATCTACAGAACACCTAATGTGTTTCCTGTATCTCTTCACCAGGTGAGAGTCTGTGGGCAGAAGAGCACATTGGAGTGAAATAACAAAGAGACATTTTGAAAGAAAACAGCTGGAATCTGTGAAAAAATAAAATGCCAGCAATTCTTAGTCACACTTCTGAATGCAGAATAGAGGTACCAGTGCAGACTGATTGGCAGGTTTCTGAGACTCATGCCAGGGGCTGTGTGACCAAGGAATGTGGTGGGAATATTCCTCCGGGAACAGTGTTTATTATCCAGACTGGGAAGAATGAATGAGGAAGACGAGAATGAAGGTCCCCCGTTGCTCCCTATTGAAAGTTTCAAAAATCCCAGCTATGACTCACCTACACCCAACTCTTGTGAGTGCTGACACTACCCTGTGCCACTGAGAAACTTGGAGATGTGACCTTGGTAAACGTTCGTGATAAGCTTTGTTTTATTAAATGCTCATTACAGTCGTGAAAATACCTTTTTTTTTTTTTTTTTTTTTTTTTTTTTGGTCCCAAATTGATTTCTTGTTATTTGTGTCACAAAATATTAAGGTTGTAAGACTGTGCCTTCTCCCTGGTTCTCAATGAACTGTGTTATCAATGGTGTTTTCTGAAAGACTGGCAAAATGTTTAAGGAAATTGTTAAAGTCTCGTTTTCATTTTTGTTCAAACAAAGAGAAAATTGAAATAAATTATTCTGTTTGCTTTCACATAGCCTTGATTCTTTAGGTTGTAAAGTCTTACTTTAAAGTCAGATTGAAGAGTTGAGTTGTTTTTTGTTTTTTTTTTAATTCTTATTTTCCATTCTGCAAATAAAATAGACATGACGGGAAATTATTAAAAATCAGAACCTGTTCTCTTTTTATTTTATGCAGAAAAAAACACATCTTAATGGAATTTCTTTTAAAAATATTTGAAGCGACACACTCTGCTTGCCTAGTCCCACGTTGTCATGAAGATTTGTGGTGAGCGTGAGCGAGAGCTGAGTTTCCCAGCTCCTTTCTAGCTCTGCTACACTTAGAGATCTTTCTGATGTAGACGCCAGTCTTTGCTACCACAGATACTTTATTCTGTACTTAACAAAAACACGAACTTCTCTGATTACAAAACAAATCCATGGTCACCATACACATATGCATCCGGGTACGCACAACACTGGCTCTCACACAATTAAAATCCCTGTCTTACCTTGCAGAAACAACCTCTCAGGATCTCCCTGCGTTATTCACACATGAGCCACACTCCTTCCAGCCCCAGAAAAGGTTTTATAGTAGCTCATACAAATGTGCAGACTTAAGAGTCAGATATAACGCAAAAAGTTGTGAAAGAAGAACGGGAAAAAAAACAAACAAACAACAGATGATAGACACAATGAGAGCCAAAGTAAAAGCGGAAGTGAGGAAGCGGAAGTGAGGTTAGGACGGGTGTGCTGAATTCCCCTCCCTGGAATGTTGTTTTATGCGACCAAGATCAAGAGACAAGTGCAGGTGTGTCTCGGGATGGCCATCTTGGCTGCCCGTGATTCCCTGAGTGCCCCAAGCAGCTGTCCATGTTGACAGTCAGCCAGCAGCCTAACTACCCACCTCAGCCTCCCCTTCTCCTCCCCTTGGTGTCTGCCCCGCCCCCAGAGGGGCACGGGGAGGCGAGGGCCTTTACCTGCACATGTGTCTCTCACTTAGGAGGACAGACAGTGAGCTCAGGCTTTGTGGCTGACTTTCTCTTTCCAAACCCTAAACCCTAAACCACAAGAAATCTCAAACAGGCCTTTCTTGTAGTACAGACACATGATTCCCAAATCAAATCCTTTTTTATTCGTATCTTTTTAATGTGCACCAAGAACAAAATGTTTACGAGTTCTGGGGTTCGCTTTTTTGTTCATCCTTCCAGACTTTCTCACCCAAACCAAAGGAAAACCCAAATACATATATATATTGCAGGCTCACTTTCTGATCACTTGTAATTCCTCTCGTTTCTGTATCTCTCTCTCACACACACACATAGACACAATCCCTTCGCGCCTAGTTCCACCCAAAGCAGTAGCAAAAAACTGCTGAAGGGGGAAATGGGAAAAGATCGCGAATCCAATTAACTTTTGCCTTCACTGGTGTGGAACGCCGGACGACTCACTGCTTTTTTAGTAAATGGGGATGAAAATCTCATAAATTAATCAAGGTTTCCAGGGGAAGTGATGAACCAAAACCCAGATGTTCACCTAATTAACAAATTAATCTTTAAAAACCAGCCTAAAGTTCTTTCCTTATTACTGAACATAATCTTAGCGTTGCTGGGTTTCAGCTTTACGTCACCTCTGACGGTTTGGAAAAGGATCCAGTTTTCAGTGCTTTCTAAAAGAGTGTGCAATGGTGGAATTTCAAGCAAAAATTAGAATGAGGGAAAATGCTGTTCTCCTTGGTTTTCTGTTTCCATTTCCATGTGAATAAGGCGATTTTCAATTAAATTGGCACAGTCTCAGAAAACAGGACCACATGGACCTTTACTTCCCGAGATTATATTCCTTCAAAAGTTTTATTGCAATAATAAAACTTGAGTGACAACAGTAAATATTGGGCAGGCGGGTAGATAATCTTACTGTGTTTTCTCCAAGTCTTCATCTGTTTTCAGAAAGTCATTTTTTTCTTCTACATCATTGTAAACAATCATGTTAGCATGTTTCTCCATATCATTCTTTTTATTCGTAGTCCACATTCAAACATACCTATGTATGTTTTAGTTTCATGAGACAGTAAGAAGGCAAAATGTTTCTGGCCCCAAAGACACAGAAATTAGACGTGGATGTGAGTCTGTTACTAATCTTTCTTCTCATTTTATAGACACACTGAATATTGTAACTACAAGATAGCCTTGATTTCTTTTCTTTCTTTCTTTCTTTCTTTCTTTCTTTCTTTCTTTCTTTCTTTCTTTCTTTTTCTTTCAGCTCAGTGCTGGGAATACAATCCAGGACCTTGTAAGTGCCAGGGGAGTACTCTGCCATTCAACCATACCCTCAGCCCCTTAACCTTGACATCTATAAGCGCTTTTGCATGCATAATGTCCTTGCTGTGAAGATAGGGAACCTGTGAACTAAAACAAGCATTTTCAGAGAATCTGAGATTGCAGGGCCTCGGTGACTTCCCTAATGACAAGGAGTGACAGAGCTGATCTTGTAACTCACTGTCTGGCTCCAAGCCTGGGGGCAACAGTCCATTTCAAGGCACCACATGATCCCCCAGACATGGCATCCAGAAGCAGAGCTCAGAGCAATGCATCTTCTGTCAGCCTTTCCTTGAGAACTGTATTAGCTTTGAATCCAATTGGCTTTCCGTGAAACAGTTTACTCACTTGTTTATTTGTTTATGTGGAAGAACTTTCACATTTCAATATGTTCCCAGAAAAGATGACAGCCCAAGAGCTTTCCCTTGACAGAGGCTAAACTGATTGTTTTCATGACTGAGAAAATTCCCAGAAGAATCTTAGCTTGGGTTTAGGAAGACGCCCTTTTTAAATCTAACATGAGCAATTGTCACAGGAGCTAGGGGCTTCAGAGACCCCATAGCAGCCTGCCCTTTTGAAAGTCCCCTGTGGTCTCTTTCCTGCCATACACATTTTAGAACCTACACAATAAGCATCTTTCTAACTTCACTGAGTTGAATTGCATGGCCTGTGTATGTTTAATAAAAATGCCATCTGTAAGTGACAAATAAATTACTTTGTTTCCAGTAACCAAGTTCCTTTGACTCCCAGGATCACTCAATAACTTTGAGAGAGCTTCTTTTTCTTCTTCTTCTTCCTCTTCTTCTTCCTCTTCTTCTTCTTCTTCTTCTTCTTCTTCTTCTTCTTCTTCTTCTTC